GGTCACTGCAGGCCTCCGCGGTGCCTACTGCAACCTCCTGCTCGTCCATCGCAACTGGTACAGATAGAGCATATATATTAATTATATAGTTATATTATTTTCTTCTAACAAGTATACCCGTGCTTTACAATGAAATTTACATCATGCATCATCCATTCTAATATGTTTTAGAATTAGACTCAGTACGGCTATTGTAGAGCATGAGTCTTGAGTTTTAGGTTACGAATGAGATAATAAACTTATTGGAAATCTAATCTATAATAATTGATCACGTACTACTACTACTAGTTGCCTTAGACTTTTATGCTACGGGGAGTAGAGGGACACATAGAACATATTTTGTGCTCCCATGCACTTAATTAGATGCTCCCATGTTCCCATTCAAAAAACCCATGAAAAAGGTGCTTGAAAAATTCAACAAAAAATATGAATGGATAGATTGATGCAAGCATCCATCTTCATGCAAAATTTGAGGATGAACAAAAGTTTTGACAAGGAGAAAACAAAAAAGAGAAAATCAGGATGCGGGTTGCTCATCGAGGTAAACAGTGCACCCGATCCAATTATATCTTTATTTATCTCTTTTTTTTGTTTCTCCTTGTAGAATTTTTCGTTCATCCTCCAATTTCGCATGAAGATGGATGTTTGCATTATCTATCGATTCATGTTTTTTGTTGAATTTTTCAAGCACTATTTCAAGGTTTTTCGAACATTAGTATGGGAACACCTAAGTGCATGGGAGCACATGGACACATGGAGAGAGAGAGAGAGAGAGAGAGAGAGAGAGAGAGAGAGAGTGCGGTGGACAAAAATTTGGAACAAACTTTCGTTCTTAAAGCAACTCCAAGAGTCTCGGCTTTATATCATTCCTTATCTATAGGAATAGAGATTTTAATCTCCGGATATTATCCTCCTCTATTTCGGATTTCTTGAGTAGGGTAGGGTTTGCGTACTTGTGTTCATAGGGGGTGTATGCGTGTGTGTTGTGGTCGTCTACATTCTACTGTGTAATTCTAAAAAAAATGAGAGTAGAATTGACACTCTAGAGTGCGTACAAGATATAAAGAACCTATTGAAGGATGAAAAAGATATAGACAATGGGTTTTACTCAAATAGTTCTTCAAATAACGATTTGGAAATTAGTTTAAAAAAAGACTCTTAGCGGTGCTCTTATACATTATATTATATATATGTCGAACATTAGAATCTGGAACTTTGTTCTCTTATAAAAAAATATATATGTTGAACTTTTATAGGCACAGGCAACAAGAAGCTGCCCGTGGTGCACCAGCAGAGCCCATGCTCGCCGTTGCATGGGCTGCCGTCCCTAACGGCGGCAGATGTCTTGCGTCGTGACACCTCCCGCGTCCGGCGCCGTTTCGCCTCACAATCGTCTGGGGTCGCTGCCCCGGCCTCGGCCCCGCCGCCGGCAGCCACCATAATCCCCGTTAACGGCTCGTCGACTCGTCCACGCTACCGGGAGAGCTGGACTACAGTGTGCTCGTCGGCTACGGCACGCCGGAGCAGCAGTTCCCGATGTTCCTGGACACCATGATCGGCACAACCCTGATCCGATGCAAGCCGTGCGCCTCAGTTTACAACTGTGACCCGGCGTTCGACACATCACGGTCCTCGACGTTCACCCATGTCCTCTGCGGCTCGCCGGACTGTCCGACCAACTGCTCAGGCGGCTCCGTCTGTCCGTTTGACAACCCGAACATCCCCATCGAGGGCACGTTTGCGCAGGACGTGCTCAAACTGACGCCGTCCACGGCCGTCGACGACTTCAGGTTCGTCTGCATGGACGTGGGACCTCCTCCTGACCTGCCGGAGGCCGGGTTCCTCGACCTCACCCGCGACCTCAACTCGCTGCCATCGCGGCTCTCGTCGCCGCCGGGCGCCTTCTCCTACTGCCTGCCGCAGTCCCCGAGCTCCCAGGGCTTCCTCTCCCTCGGCGGCAACGCCACTGTCAGAGATGACGACAACCGCACTGCGCACGCCCCGCTGGTGAGCAACGGCGACCCCGAGCTGGCGATCATGTACTTCATCGACGTCGTCGGGATGAGCCTCGGCGGCGAGGACCTCCCGATCCCGCCAGGGACCTTCGGCAGCAATGCCAGCACCAACCTGGACGTGGGGACCACCTTCAACATGATGGCGCAGGACGTGTACAACCGCTCGTCGCCGGGGTTCGCCGGCTTCGACACGTGCTTCAACTTCACCGGGCTGCAGGAGATCACCATACCGCTCGTCCGGTTCGAGTTCGGCAACGGCGAGAGCCTGCTGATTGACGGGGACCAGATGCTGTACTACGACGATCCCACCACCGGTCCATTCACCATGGCCTGCCTCGCCTTCTCCGCCTTTGACGACGGCGGCATTTAATTATTTATATACACGTTTGAATTTGCTTTCAACTTAATTTTTTTTTCACATTTCCACTTTGATGCAATAATGTTTAGTTTACCTATTACTGCTCCCAAATTAATAAAGGTTCGATTTTCCTTGTGACGATGACTCGTGTACGTATGTCCTACACTATTAGCTGCTCTTGCCTTGAGATTTCATTGTCTGAGACTGAATTTCATGCTCTTCTCTTGGCTACATTATGCTCATAAGAAACATTTAGCCTAGGCTTCGTTAATTGTGACTGCTCTTTTCTGTTGACTACTTTCATTACATTGATGGGCTGGGGCTGTCTGATTTTAGCCTAGGCTGCAGCTTCTTCGGCCGATCTGGGCTGCTCCAAGGACCCAGTCATTAATCTCTCCATGGTCCGGTGGAGGGCCCATGAGAGTTGGTATAGTAAAGGGCTGCAGGTGAACTTTATGCTGAGGCGGAGGAGAGAGAAGAAAAGAGAAGAGAAGCAAGATATAAGTTTACAGTCAACTTATGCATAAAAAACTCTATAAGAAAAAATGTAGAACTTTTGTAAACTAACTACTATATGAGTAGGATGATAAATGAGCTATAAACATCCCTACAACTAACAATGCTCGCTGACCATTCAGGCTGCACTTGCTGCTTGCGGCGCTGCCTCCCTGGGATGCTCCACTTCGCGTTGTCACCGCACATGACCTCCACGCCTGCTGAATGAAACTTGACCCTCTCGTCAATCGTCTCCTCATAGCACGTCGTCGTTGTGCTTCCCTCTCGTAGGCTTGTCGCCACTCGGCTTATGCCGCGACCCCCGCTGCCGCAGTAGCTAGGTATAGGTGTGGTCGATTGATGATATAAAGGGAGATGTGAGAGCTGAGTGGGATATGGGCCTGAGTCTGATATCACTATGTAAAAAAAGCAAATCACAAATGCACCTTTAGAGACGCCACAGACGCGCTATGTAATAACGCGTCTGTAATAAGGTCTTGTTACAGACGCGCTTAAGCTGATGCTACAGACGCGTGTTACCAAAACGCGTCTATGATAGGTTACACACGTCTGTGATAAGGGGTCGTCACAAATACGCGTTTGTGATGACCCCGTATCACAGACGCGTATTGCCAACATGTGTCTGTGACGACCCCTTATCATAGACGCGTATTGCCAACACGCGTCTGTGATAATGAATTAAAAAACAAAAAAATATAAATTCTAATACGCGTCTGTGATAATGAATTAAGAAACAAAAAAATATAAATTCCAATGCCAGTATCTTATATACATCACACATCTTGTATTACAGTACCCACCAACATACATCTTGTAGAAGAATTAATACAGAATGGAAATAGGCCTACTTGCCGCTGAACTACTTGTTCAAACTATCTGGGCCTGATCCTACTTGTCTCCAACAGAGATAGATAGAATAATAATTTACACAGAACATACTAAGCATATTAAACTACTATTATATTTCAATTTTCAGCAAACCTCAATAGTCAGGTTACTTAATACTAGATACAAGTATTAAATCTTTACATTGAAAGTGAACTGAGCCAACTTACACTTGAAACTTTCTGTAAACTGAAATCAATCATATTTATGTTCCTGACCAAGTGGTAAGGTTACTTGAATCAGATGATATATGATAACCGCATCTAACATGGACTGATGGCATTCTATATATATATATATATATATAATCTACATAACATGTACCTGACCACATGACATGTCAGGCTCTAGCATCTCATGGTCCCAAGCAGAACATATTCTTGCTCCCTGAAAAATATTGCAGAGATGAGCACTAAGAAGGGTGCTTCTAGAACACTACTTCAGCAGAGATGAGCAAACTGAACATATGCAGTTGCAGGGTTCCAACTTTAGAAAAAAAAATACCATTAGATAGATTAGTGCATTAGCCTAAACTGTTCACAACCTGAAAGAACTATACATTGCAGAGTTCTCTATGCATCAAAAGATTCAGTAACCAGTATCCAATGCAAACAGATATACTGGAGTACAACCATTTCTTCAAGATAATTTACAAAGATGGTTGATAAGTAATTCTAATAACTCAACAAGCCCAAACCGTGATACCACAAGCGATGCTGCAGATTCATCAGAACCAACAGCAATCACCATGCATCTACATGTTATCAAGTCTCAAATAAAAATAATAGTGATAGGTCTCAAAACAACAGCCTGCTCATTACACATAATGAGATTATTATTGTCGATGCAGTTGGATCGATGGAATCCGGGAGACGGTGCCAGCTGATGAACGCAGAGAGACTGCAAAGATACACCATCATCACCAGTTCACCACTAGCGTGGGTAGGAGTAGCTCTTGCCACACCAATCCTGCCCATACAGCAACAGTCCATGCATGAAACGCACATCAAATTGGTATTAATTGTTAACTGAAACATGCATGTACTGATGTTATTGATGTTGTTGTAGTATATTAGTGTATATAAATAAACGCAGGTAGCTAGGAAACCATACCTATATATAAATGATATGGAAGTAATTAATTAAATAGGATATGTATACCAGCTGCAGCTAGCGCAAACATAAGGTAAAAAGACTATAGTTTGTACCTGGTCTTGATCAACAGATCAGGCGCTACTCCCACCTTCCCCGTCCTCCTCTTCATCGGGCTCATCATACATGCCATCAAATACAGTCCTTCCGCTGTCGAATTTGATGTTGGATACAGGGTGACCTGGGTGCAGGCCAGCCATGTCCCTCAGCGCAGACTCTGCAGCCCTTATGTTGGACTCCTTGGCAACGTCACATCCAATGTCTCCGATGATTTCTTTGAGGCCTGATAGGTACTCGATGCCAGCAGGCATACCACCATACCTGTCCCATCCTTGTGCATTGAAACATAGCTCAAGCCTTTCAAGCTTTGGCATTGCCCCTGCCTCGAAGGTCAGGTAGGATATCCTGCAACAGCTAAATGTAAATTGCTTCAGAGCAGGGAATCCTGTTCCACGGATGATGACCTTATCTTTAGCAACTCCACCGATGTACAAGTCGAAGAAGACAAGGGAGGGCAGCTGTGAAATAATTCCAACATCATCCTCTAGAACCTCCTTAACAGGTAGACACAGGTCACAGAGGCCACGTAGTTGGCAAAGCCACTCTGGGACTCTAGAAAACCAGAAACTACCATGTATATGCAATCTCTGGAGATGGCAGAAAGAAGCTGGGACAGAACAGAGTATATCCAAGCATGCACGCATATTATCAAAAACAGATCTAATACATAGATATTTGAGGTTGCAAAGTTTTTCAAGGCAAGCGCGTAGAATTTCCCTGACTTTCTCCATCATCTCATCACTATATGGAAATGAGATGTAAGAACGTCCGATATCAAGATCCCTGAAATTCGTCAGTTCTTTGAGGCCCTTAACATTGTCTAGTGAGTCATTTGTGAAATCAGGGTAGTGTAGAGTACGCAAGGATTTCATGTTCCCGATCCCATCAGGCAATAGTATCCCCTCTGGAACAACCAGATGCAATAAATGCCTCATATGAACAATATACGATGGAAGTTGATCAATATATTCCCCTGGACATGATGACAAACTCAAACGGCAAGATGAACTCCAATGGGAACCTGGTAAATGAAACGTCTCCAATAGCTGCATACCCACAATTTCAGTAGGTATGACTACTGCATCATAAGATTTGACCTTTATGTATCTCAGTTGATACAAATTATATATTCCACTTAGATCAACTGACTTCGGTATACCATAAGTGGATGAAATTTCAATTGTAAAAACTCGAAGGTGCTTGAACAGTGTAAGGCGAGGCCCATATAAGGAAGAGGTTCGAAATCCAGCTACTGTTCTTATCTGGGATAGCTGGATGGATTCCAATCCTGTGTCATCTATTTCACCATCCAGGTGAAGGGAGAGTCGACGGATTTTGTCGTGCTGTCTTGTCATGTCTTGTATGTCATATATCACGGCAATGAAATTCTCTTCTCTGGACTTTTGTAGGATAAGGTCAAGCATCAGATCATGTACCTTACAAGACATCACCTCGCTATTATGGTCTGTGTCTACTGGTTGAATCATACTCCTGTTCATAAGCTCATTAAAGTAGCTCTTTGCTACATCCTCTTGATCAATTCCATGAGATTTACTTATGAAACCTTCAGCTACCCATTGTCTAGTCAAATCAACCGTGTGGATTGTGTAGTCCTGTGGATAAATACCTAGATACAGCATGCAGGTTTTCAAATAATGAGGAAGATTTATGTAGCTGAGATTCAATATTTGTCTCATGCCTTCCAAGCTTGGGCTCACATCAAAGTTGGAGCCCAAAGAGTTCAGTACATACTCCCAGCGCTCTTTCAGTTTGACTGGTTGAGTTGCAAGAAGGCTAGATACTGTGATAATTGCAAGTGGCAAACCAGCACACTTTTTCAAAATTCCAACTGAAACTTCTTTCAAATATGGAGGACACCCATCTTCTGAACCAAATATCCTTTTGAAGAATAAGCTTCTGGAGTCTTGGTCACTAAGTGGCTTCATCTTATAAACATATTCAGAGTTATTATTGCAGCATGATCTGGCCAGAGTCTCAATTCGTGTAGTTGTTATTACTCTGCTACCATTCATGTTTTCTGGGAGAGCACACCTAATAATATCCCATGCAGAGGCATCCCATATGTCATCAATTACAATAAAGTACCTGACAATAAGTAATATGGAGTATAATAAGCATTAGAGCACTGTAAAATGTGCATATATATGAAAGGATGCTCAGTATTCACTAAAGGTGGAAACAACAACAAGATATCACTTATTTAAAGTGGCAACTTGCTTTGTTACTTGGGCTCAATCAGTATCAAATAATTTCTATTTGTGGAGCCTTGGTGATGCCAGAATAACCCATATGCTACTAAGATCGAAAGAAATAGCTCAAGCAGCTTGCAGGATTTTCAAAGAATTATTGGCCACTGAATATTAGGTGCTGGCAGTGGCAAGAGAACAAAATGATAATCTGAGAAATGAGTCAATGACAGTTGCATAACATAAATTCTAACTTTGTAAACTTGTTATATGAGTCTTTTGTAGTTGTGTGGTAGCAAGTTTGAAGAACATGGTGAAGTACACAATTGTAAGAGACCAACAGAAACTATGCCATTTTTGTGTGCTATAATTAGTTGTACATCAAAACATTCGTTCCCAGGACCTGTACATTGATACAACTACGATGGTGAAAGCTATTAATCACAAGCAAGGTTAAGAGAGAGAAAGACGGGCTCGACAGATGTTGCCTACTCAATACTAGTATGCTAAAGAAGAATAGCTTAACAAGAGAAAATAAGCTAACACAACCTAGTTAAATTAGAAAACAACAAGACAGCAATTTCAAGATTAGTGTACGTGTACCTCTTGTCCGAAAGGAACTTTTGAAGTACACTAATCAGTTCATTTTCTTCCCATGTTTGTATACTGGAGTTATTAAAGCCAACATGATACAATATAGTTCTCAGAATTTTCCTGATGTTTGGTTTTTGGGACACAGAAACAAAAGTTGTACACTGGAACTCCCCCTCTAACTTGTGATAAACCTGATTTGCAAGTGTAGTTTTTCCAAGGCCTCCAAATCCCACAATTGAGACCACCTTTAGCTGATATGAAGGAACACCATCTCTATCCATCAACTGAATCAATTCATCCCTAGGGCCATCAATACCCACAAGGCCCGCTGACTCTGCATACATTGCCAATAACCGAAGATCGATGTTTGTGTTGTTGGGCTTGGGGACAGCATCATCGATCTTGTACCTTGTGCGTTGTTCGCTTACCTCCATGACACGTCTCTTGAGGCCTTGGAACCTTTGTCAATTTCATGCCGAGCACTACGTAAAAAACGGTTTTTAGCAACGGGAGAATTTTTTTGTAGGGGCGGCTGGTGATGGAGCCGCCCCTACAGTGGCGTGCTCGGGAGCCCAGACACCAGCCGCCCCTACAAATGGAACAGCAGGGGCGACTGGTGATACGAGCCGCCTCTATAAATAGGTCTGATTTGTAGGGGCGGCTCATTCACCAGCTGCCACCGGAGTTGATATTTGTAGGGGCAGCTGGTGATTGAGCCGTCCCTACAAATGCATGTACAGTTGCTACCCATCCAAAAATATCTACTGACCTCTCCTCTCTCTCTCTCTGTCTTGACTCCCTCTCTCTCTCTCACTCGCTCTCCCTCTCCTCCGAGCCCCTCCGTCTCTCCCCCACGCCGCCCCTCCCTCTCCCCCACGCGGTGACGGGACCTCCCTCTTCTCCGCGTGCGGAGGCGCACGGCGTCGCACCCCCCTCTTCTCCGCGCGGCGGCACTCGGCGGCGCACCCTAGATAGGGTGGTGGGGGTTCTGGGGCGCGGCCTCCCGGCGGTCGCACGGCGGGCTCGGTGCCCTCCTCCAGCGCCGGCAGTCACGCGGGGGCCCATCCCCCGATCCAGGCAAGGGCAGCGCGGAGCAGCCTCGCCGGCCTCGATCCAGGCAAGGGCAGTGCGGAGCAGCCCGGTGCAACGGAGGCTCCCCGGTTCCGATCTGGCATAAGGCGGCGCGGAGGAGCCTCGCCGGCCTCGATCCAGGCAAGGGCGGCGGCGCGGAGGAGGCTGCCCAGCCTGGTTGTAGCACTGCTCACCCTCCGCCATAGTAGGCGACCGATGAGGCCCTCTGCTTCGACCTTCAACTGTCTTTGTGCAGTGTCTCCACTTGGTAATCACTCTGTGCTCCGCTCGGTTACACTATTGCTTTGGGAATCTCCGCTTGATAATCTAGCGTCAATAGTTGTTAGCTTGCACATCCTCGTATGCAGCCATGCATGAAAGCTTTCCTGGTTTTTCCATTGAATATTGAATAGTTGACGAGCTAGCGGTCTGAGGAAAAATAAAGTAAAACGAGCTAGATAGTATACTCCATGCTGTATCGTATACTCAGAAAATCACAAGCATGTTGTATTGTATACAGCACATATTGTGGCTTCCCTGAAAGATGTATGTTTACTAGAAGCTAACGTCATCAGTCAGTTGGATCTGAATCTGAGAGGTTAGGAACAGACTCCTAGATGAAACAAAAGTGAGATCTTGTTTTGACCATTCGAACTAGTGTCATATCAGTGTTCAATGGTGCTATATTATAATGTTAATAGCTACTGTTATAACAAGCTGGTAGTTACTACATATCAACAATATATGCTGAACAGTATGGAGTAGTAGTGTCTGTTATCATGTAATGACAGAGGAAGTTGTGATATAGATGCCGGAAGCAAATTGTGATATTCATGCATCCTACATCTGGTTATCTACAAATTTGATTAGATTAAAATAGTGATGCTTTATTCTTAGTACAGAGGGAACTGTAGTTCAACATGAAAGTCGGTTCTTACTATAACAGTATAACTGAACCAAAATAGCCGATTTTGAATATGTTGGATGGATGCACCGAACATGTGACTTATATGGAGTAAAGTTATTAATTAATAGGTGATTTTGTGGTAATTTGTTTTGCAAAATTGTATCCTGCCGTGTGGTGACTGAACTGACTATGGGAAAAGCTGAAGCTTGAGCTAGGACTCTGTTTCTGTTTGGAATCCGAGTTTTGCTGGTGCATAGTTAAGCTTGAGGTGGCTCCAGATAAGGCAAAATTGCTGGTGCATTGTACTCCCTCCATCTGTGAATGTAAAGCATATTTTGTTTTATTAGAACAGCCTTTGACCAACTGTATTCTTTTAATTTGCCCTTTTATAAAACAAAATTTCAATCAAATAAGTATTTGGAATTTTAGATTGTTATAAAGGTTTAGATGTATTTTAGAACAGCCAATTTATGTTTATATTGTGATTCAATGAATTTTATTTCACCAACTGCTTGTATCATGTATTTGGAATTTTGGATTGTTATAAAGGTTTAGATGTCATGCTATCTATTTGTTTAGATGTCGTTACATAGCATTTTGCATGATATGGGATGGTAGCTCTCTGAACTGCAGGTATGACTATAAGACAGATGTTTGCTCATTTGCCCTATAACTCCTAAAGCCAGCTCTCTCTAAACCTATCATCTGCTAGATTGACCTTGCCAACTAAAAGAGGGATTCTCGGAGCCTTCCACTGAAGAAGAAGAAGAAGAAGAAGAAGAAGAATACTTTAGACTCTCATCCCAGACAGAGATAGACAACCTCTCACCCATTCCCACCTTGGAATGTAAACAAAGAGTCCTCCTGTGTCATGGAGAATCCTTCCTAATTGCCCTTGGGAAATAAAAGAGCTTCAAAACTGGATTGATCCTTGTTGCTCATTGACGCAACACTGATTTGATTAAGGGACCAACCAATGAGTTTATGACATGTGGCCTCACGGCGCACATGCCAGATTCACGTTGTTGGTTCTTATAACCGTTTAATACATTGTTCATGCCTGAGGTTGTCTTGTCATAGTTGATGTCTTTGTGTATGTTCACTATAAAGCTAGGATAAGAAGTATAACTATCTTTGGAACTGCAAAGACTATCTCGACTCGGTGAAGACTTTCTTCAGATATTTATTTTCAAGCACATACCAAAGGTACTACCGATCTTCATGATTGTTACGTATATTTATTTTTGAAATAACACTGATACTTGGACTTGAGACTCAGTTAAATTTCACTTGATTTTGGAAACTGAGTTGTATTGGTGAAGGTTACTTGCAAGTGTAAGAGTTTAGTGACAATGTTGCGCTACTAATTGCCCCCTTTGTATCCCTTGATAGTGGTGGATACTTATTTTCTCCCTTGCCTTCGTTGTTGTTAATAAGGTGTCCGCACACTTCATAAATAAATGACATGTCTTGCAGTACAAGTATTTCAACCGAACATGTTTTTTTAGTTACAGGAAGGTATTCTTATAGATTCATAGAACTTTTAACAACTAATGGTCAAAGTTTCTTGCCAAGTCAAACAAAGCCTTGCACAAAACAGTAAAGGCAGTATAGGTCGAAATTCTGATCCAATCATCTGCCTATCATCTGCCTGATCTTTTGTTCGCAGTAGCTGATGATTATTGCAATTTTTTTAAAACCAGAAGCAAGTTGCCATTAAATAATACATGATTTGTCTTACAACCTTTTTACAACTTATTTGATTTGCAGAGTGGAATGCTATCATTTGAGACAGCTCAGTTCGATGGAATCCTAAAGAAAGTTACAGAGTTTAATGCAAGACTTTCATCTGACTCGGTAATCTGAAAGCTTATTTTCTGGCGCTGTTTGTTTCTTCCAAAAATTAACTTATCAATATTTCTTCCCGGAACCTAGAAAATGTAGTTTTGTTTACATCCTTCCATGTGCTTTTAGATCTATTTCGATGCATTAGGTCTTATGTTAATGAGTTTTCAGCAGTGATTATGAGTAACCTTTGTCCCTTGCACACCAACTGACTTGTCTTTAGAGCTGCACACGTGACCTGCACTGAAAAATATAATGTGTAGAAGTATGTTCTTGCTTTTAAATATTTATAAGCTTCATTTTTTTATGGCGAAGGTTTTCAGTCGATCTGAAAGGTGTCTTTTGACCTTGCAGTTATTGATTTTCTGAGAATGTTCGTGTTGCATCCTGATGGAGCTACTTTACTTCTCAAGACCATCGAAACTGGAAATGGTAGGATTTTGGATAGCAGTCTTTTTGCTAATCCCAGCCTTTCACATCTGAATTATCTGCACCTATTCAAGCATAGATTGTTTAATTGTCTACACTATGTATCTTAATCACTAGAATTGCCTCTTACTGAAAATCAAACAATATCTATTGGTCCTGAACAAAGCTTTGTTCTCAAGTTAAATAATTCATTTTCTCTCGAGTTCTTTGTCTGTTGTGCATAAAAATATTAGCCTGTTTTTTAGTCTTGCTTTTCTTGACTGACAATTTTATTTCCTAATTTCAGATCATGGATTCCTTGTCTAACTGCAGGTCTTCTTTTAGAAAAAATGCACACTTGGCATATGCCACGCTTCTACTGAAGTGAGTCTCAAGTTGAATTCTACCTATTTATGCATTGCAATTTTGCTTCCACGGCGTTAGAAAATGAAAAGAACGTTCGAGATTGCTGAAGTTCCTTACATTTGCTGTGCAGCTATGCTGTTCTTTCAATTGAATCAAAGGATGAACAAAGTCAGGCGCAAATTCTTTCTGCCGCCCTTGAAGTGAGTTTTCCATCCTACTGTATCCAGCCATTGCAATTTCCAGAGAAATCCTATCTCTTACATTTCTTGAACTTACAGATCGCTGAAGATGACACTCAAGATTTTGACTCAAAATACCGGGCACTCGTTGCAATCGGTTCTCTTGTATCCTTTTTCAACATTCTATTATTGCAGCTTTTCCTGCGCTGCAATTTTATTGTTTGCATCATTTCTTCTAAATTTTCATGCTTTGGCATGTGTTACCCTTAACCTAATTTACTCTAGATGCTCAAGGGCCTCGTGAAGTCCCTTGCTCTCGAAATTGTAAATTTAATTTTTTTGGCGAAAAAATGATTTGTAGGGGCGGCTGGTGTTCCCAGACCGCCCATATAAATCGATTTGTAGGGGCGGCTACAGTATCAACCACCCCTATAAATCGATTTGTAGGGGCGGCTACAGTACCAACTGCCTCTACAAATCGATTTGTAGGGGCGGTCTGGGAAAACCGCCCCTACAAATGCATGATTCGTAGTGACGGTATGGTAGGGGCGGCTGGCCGAACCGCCCCTACAAATGCACCGTAGCCGCCCCTGGAAATCATTTTTGACGTAGTGGAGTGCTGATGGTTTTCAACAAGTTCATCATCCGATTGATGAAT